GAGGGAGGAAGGGAGGGGAGGAGGGGAACAGGAAGGGAGAGGAGGGAGGGAAGGAGGGAGGAAGGAAGGGAAGGAGGGGAGGAGGGAGGGAAGGAGGGAAGAAGGGAGGGAGGGAAGAAGGCGGGCAGGAGGGAGGAAGGGAGGAAGGGACCTCATGAAAGCAGAAGGGAGCAGCAAAGAGGCAGGGGATCGGAGGAGGGCAGGTGGAGGCCGGGAAGGTCGCTGTGAAGGAAGATGCCATTTGCATCTGTGAAATGCCGCAGTGAAACCCAGTTTTCCGAAGCTAACCCTACTTGTACCTGATGACTGGCTGCTCCACTCCTACGGCTCCCCCAAGATGAATGAAAGGTTGTCATACCGGGCTGCACCTCAGCGGTCAAAACAGTACTTTATTTTTCCAAATACCCTTAGCAATGGAAACAACACAAAGTGCACCGAGTGGCCAGAGGACAACGGAGCCCGGTTCACCTACTGGAGGTGTGGTCACCAGCACGACAGGCCCAGGCTGGGTGGTGCCATGTGCATCTCCAAGACCGCAGGCTCCCTGAAGAGGGCCAGACAGTCAGGCCTTGCCCAGCAATTCTTCTCTGTCCACGAGCAGGGGTCCCGGCTGCAGACCGAGAAGTACAGACTTGAAGCTGAGGGACACTTGCGTGCAGTGACTTGCTCTGCGGTGACTTTAAACATCACGCATTTTGCAGGTCAGGAAGCCGAGCACCACGTCTCCAGCCTCCTGCCCCTGCCGCCGGGGAGCAACTGCCCAGCGTGTGGGTCGTGGGCATGCAGGCCGATAGGGTGGCTTCCGCAACACGAGGCTGCTTTGGTGGGAACTGTGGGCTCTGAGGCTGGGCCCGTGCAGGCGTCTCACAGGGACTTCTCTGACACCAGGGGACCAAAGACGCCCCTCTGCTCGCATCAGTGCTGCTGCTGTCTGAACACGTGTCCTCTGAGAGGCTGCGGAGGTGACCATTGTGCGGCTCTCTCCTCCGCTCCCCTGCCCTGCACCACCCTGCTCCTCACCTGCAAGTGTCCCTAAGCCCCGTCCTCTGTGACAGGACTGAGGCTCTTCTGTCTCCACACCCGGCTGTTTGAAGAAACTCTTTCTCTTGGACAAAACCTGGCACTGTCTTGGTGCTGCCTGGCTGCTCCGGTTCCAGCTGCTGAGACGGCTGCGTCCCCCTCACCAAGTTGCTTTTCCATCGTCGTCAAAAATGAGCAGGGGTGGCACGGGGGTCAGCACCACAGCGCTGGCCTTGAAGGTGTACAGTCCTGGGGCAAACCCAGACCCTAAGAAACAAGTGACTGGGGCCGGTGTGAGCACAATGACCCTGGGCTGTCCGTCCGCTCTGCCGCTGTGGCTCTCCCTTGCCCTGTGTACCGCCCTCTCATTTCCACACCCACAGTACAAAATGCCTCAGAAGCAGGTACATGGCCCCCCCGCTTCTGCTGCTTAAACCCTCTTTGAGCTCTTCTGAGGGGTTCTCTTTTCCACACGTTAGAATAAGCTAGTGCGTGCATGTCTATGAAAACCTGGCTGGGGCCTAAACCACTTTTTAGATGGTCATCAGTAGCTCACGCCCGCTCTGAAGTTTTTACTGAAAATAACCTCAAAGTTTGCTTTGCTTTTATTTCAGTTTCCTTTTCCCAAATGTCAACACACAGCCACTCCTTCACTCGATCCAGAGCTACGCACTGGGGCAGGCAGGTCACCGGGACGCTCACTGTCCTCCCAGGACACAGCTTTGGGCTGATTCGCAAGTCGGAAGTTCAGTTTTAGGCTTAAATGTTATTTTGAATGTGAGCACCTGTTGGTCTTAGAACTTTGGGCTCCCAGGGTGCGAAGTGCTGGCACTGCCTCCCGTGCAGCCCACATGACCGTCCCCATCACTTTTCCTGTGCTGGGACACGATGCGCACAGACACCAGGGTTATGTGAGGAGAGGGTTGTCCACAGCGTGCGGAGGTCCCAGCCACAGCCGCTGGCTCCAGGGCAGGGCGGCAGGGCACCCCCCTGGCAGAAAAGAGCTGCTCACGGCGTGCCATTGGCAAAGCAGGGAGGGAAGGGTGGACTGGGGAGGGTGATGACCCCTCCAGGCCACACCCACTGACCCGTGTCCTCCAACCAGACCCCTCCCCACAGCAGGCCAGCTAACAGCCTCATAATCCAGTTGCCTCCCAAAGCCCCCCCCAAGATGCCATGAGACTGTGGGGTCAGCTAGAGAATGTCCAGATAGGAACCCCAACAATGCCCAGGTGTGGAGAAGGTTCCGGAGCAGCAGGGCAGCGGGATCAGAGGGCAGATGTCCATGTCATTATTATGTCATTATTTCGGGCCCACTAGCCCTGCTGTTGCCTTTGGACATAAAGCTGAGCTGCCGAGAGCCAATCTCTCACGCACCCGTGCATCTAATCAGTGTCTGCCTGGGGCCCCGGGTGTGCCGGCATGCACAGAGCTAGGGGGGATGCAGAAGGACAGCCAGCACCCCTCGAAGCCAGTGTCCCCTGCAGCGGCTGCACAGCAGCCAGCGGCACCAGCACAGGGTCTTGAGGTCGGAAGCGAGGAGGAGGCACCACCTGGGAGGGCGCCTGCTGTGTGCAGGGCAGTGGAAGTCAGGTGCCCAGCTCAGGGAGTAGGGGCAGCAGGGGGCAGGCTGCAGGGTGAGCAGGCCCTGAAGGGCGTCACTCCTGTGGGCAAACAGAAGCCCTGCGCTCATGCTGGTGCAGGGGACAGCCCTCTGCGCTCAATCTCCTGCAAACAGGTCAAAGAGCAAGGCAGGAGGCCTGTGAGTCCCAGCGAGGCCTGGCCTGGGACCCCTCCCCTGTGCAGGGGCCGTGAGCAGACTTAGGTGCAGAGATCCCCTCTTTGGGCTTCAGGGAAAACAGCTCGGGTGCAGGAGCCCAGAAAGGCCTCTCACTGCTGTCTGCCAGTGGCAGGGGTGGTGAGGGAGGAAGGGCCGGGGCCAGGTGTCCAGTGGCGCCTGCCGGACCAACTCGCCTCTGCCTCTGACCAGCGCTCCTCTCTGCCTCGGCCGTCCTCTCCCAGGCTCTGCTGGCCCTCCCCGGGCCCTCTCCCCGTCTTCCGGTCTCTCCACAGCCGTGGCGCTAATCTCAGAGTCTTCCCTACATTCACTGGAAGTGTGAGACACAGTAAGTGACATAGACAGCCGCACTCACATGGCATTCGTGTCCCCGATTCTGACCGCCAGGGCTTCTAATGGTGGAGGAAATGAGACAGGAGGGGAGACATAAATGAAAAATTTTAGGGAAGCGATATTTTCAATCAAATTTTCCCAAACTAGCATATTACACTTCTATGTTTATAATGTTTCTTCTGAAAGCTAGCACTTAATTTTTATTTTTTTTGAGACAGGGTCTTACTACATACTCCAGGCTGGCATTGATCGCAGCGTCACTCCGTCACTCCTCCTGCCTCAGCCTCCTGAGTGTTGGGAATACACACAGGTACCACACGCGTGGCCGACAGTACACACTTTTAATCTCTAAAATCACAGGAAAGAACAGTGCTGCAGCCCCATGTGACTGGCCTTCAGAGGCGACAGTGGCTGACATCGAGCACAGGTCCTTCAGACAGTTTCAAAGCAGCTGAGCCTGCCCTGAGCTGCTCCCCTCTTTGAAGGCTTTTGGGCCCTGAAATGGGGCCAGCCCCCTTGTACCTGAAAACCCAAAACATGGCCTACCTGGGCATCGCCGTCTCTGCACCCTCCTCCCTGCGCTTCCCACGTTCGGGACTTGTTCACATGGACGGAGGTGACTCCTTCCAGCACCCCAGGGACGCTCTGTGCCTCAGAACACGGGAAGGCTGCGGCAGCAGCTCTCCAGCCTGCACAGTCCTTCGATGCCAGCTGGGAGCCAGTGTCCCCAACGCCGTAGTGGCCTCTTCCCTGCGGGACAGCAGACAAGGGACTGCTGGTGGTGCAGCTCCTGTGCCTGTCCTCTGGTGCAGGTGACTTCTCTGCAGCAACTGGAACTGCCACAGCTTGGAGGTACAGGGTCTGCACCCCTGGGCCACGCCGGCCGGTGCAGTGGCTGTGAGGCTCACTTCCTGCCATAGGTTTCACCAGCACTGGAGAACCCAGCATCTTTCCAGCCTGAGTGGAGGGCTTGTACTCGGGCAGGGCCCTGCTTGCTCCCCATCCACCTTCCCACAGGGCCTGTCTCTTCCTTTTCCAGGGCGTATGAGATTCTGCACATCTCCCCAGCCGGTCAGCAGCTGACATCTGTCCTACTGAAGCTTTTACTTTTAATGCAAACTGTCTTTTAAGAATGTATTTTGGCACTCCACGTCATGTTTTAAAAATAAACAACAACAACAAAATCCTCCTCTACCGTGCCTGCACAGTCTTGGGCGTGTAAAAGCGTGCTGTGAGTTTGGGAGAAGGGTGAACGGCTGCAGTTCACGCAGGCTGAGCTGTCTCAGGTATGCATGCTGAGTAAAGAGATGGCCATAGGAAACACCCCAGGCAAACACTCCTTGGGGCCTAGGCTGCTCAATTAAAGGAGAGCTTCTAGCGGTTTCCTCCAGCGAGGTGGGTCCTACCTGCTCCTGGCTCGGTGACCCGGAGGTGGCCGCAGCAGGGGCGCTCTGCTCACACCGCTGGCCAGCGCTGAGGTGCGCTCTGGTGTCCGGAAGCAGGAATGCACAAGAGCTGCTGGCAGCACAGAGCTAAGTTCTCCCAAGGTCTGTCTTGCAGAAACATTCTCAGGAAACAAAAACCCCAAGGATTCAGAGCAGCTTGGGGAGCTCTGTGCAGCGTTCACCGTGGAGGTCTTGACCTGCTCCAGCACAGGGCAAGGGACCAGTAGTCTTGAAACACCGCCTGCACGGGAACTGGGGCCGGGGCCTCCCGTTCCTAACGCTGTCTCCTGGGATTCCAAACCTTCAGAGGAACTCCGGCCGGTCCACTTCCCAGAAACGTGCCCTCTGCACCTCTTCTCTGTGCGGCCACGCTGCTGCACCTCACTCCCTTCTCCAAAGCCCACGCCTGGAGGTGGACCCTCACCCCAGAAGGTGCGGGCCTGCGCCAAGATCTCTGAGCTGGGGCTGGAGAGGCCCGCAGAGCTAAGGGAGATGGAGGATTTGCACAGGCCGGAGTCTGCGGGTTCTCCGGCCCTGTGAGGTCGAGAGACTTCAGGGGGCGCGGCAGGCAGGCAGGCAGGCACCTGCGGAGGATGAGACTTGCGCTGTCTCGGAAGAAACCCGGAGCGACAGGTTAGCAAGGAGGAGCGCAGTCATCTAAAGCCAGCGCGACTCCACGAGGACGCACTCGTTGCTTCAATGCACTTAGTAGGTTTTTAAAAGGCCAGTTGCAGCGGGCCAGGCGTCTCCACAGGCACGCCCTGCCGCGCTTCCTGCCGGCGGCTGCCTGCTCGCGCCCTGAAGTGAGGCCGCGGGGCGCCCAGGCCCATCCAGCCCTCGCAGGCCCGGGGAGGACCCAGACGGGCCCCGCTGGCCTTGGGGTCAGAGCTTTGGGGACCGTTCATCGTCCCGGATTCTCCGCAGTGAGAGCATTGCTGGCCAGCCTGCGGCTTCGGTGTGCATTTGGGTCCCTAGAGGCACAGACGCCTCCGAGATTCAATCAGACGTCCTCCTAGGCGGGGCTGCGAACACGTTGCCGCTGGACTTAGATTTTGTACTATGTATAACATGGGCTCCAGTTTTAAGAAAAAGAAGGCAAACTGTCCCCCACCCACTTCTCTCTCTCTGGTCCTCCCTCCGCGCACCGCCAGGACCCGGGAACCAGGGGATCACTGGTCACAATGTAAGCGCGACTTGATACACTGAGGCCACTGACGTTTACACCTTTACACCGACGTTCCTGCATTAGAGGGAACCGATGCAAAATGTGCACACTTAATTGCTCACAAAATCTGCACACCCAAAATGGTGGCTATATTTCCACCGAGCGCAAACTCCACGAAAGACCGAAGTAGTGAAGAGAAACGGATACGTGCTGCCCGGGTTGAGAGGCCCTCGTGGTGCTCTCCTTCTCCCACGAGGGAGCCCCGCGCGGGCAGGCCC